TATTTCTGGTTGTTTTATGATTAATGTAGCCTCGGTAAAAAGAGGTATATTTGAAGTTGTAAGCCCCAAAACATAAAAGTATATTTGGCACAAGAAAATCACTAGAACAACAGAACACCAAGCCCACAATGTGGTGCCTGCAACATGCTCAGGACTGCTGTCATGAAGGATTCCACCAAGATATTACAGTTAAATGTTTTGATGTAAAATTTTTAAACATCTCTTAGACAGTTAAAAGTTTTAAATCTAGTTAAATGTTACACTCAAAAAACTCTCAAGTAGAAAAAACATAGCAAGTCATTAGCAGAGGTTTGTTTAAGAGAAATTTCTTGACAGAATTCTTTATAAAAAAATATTGCTTGATTGCCCAAATTTTAAGCTGCAACCTGTAAAAACGTGTCGCCTGAAAAAGAAAGAAATACTATGTCCTTCAGATTGGTGAACCGTTGTTTTCAGTGACAATTTTCAGGAGCAACAGCAAACAGTTCTTCAAATAAAATATCACAATGTCCATTAAGTAACATTATTTTAATCAAAACTGAATTGACTAAAATATCAAATAATGTTATTGATATATTTAGACATGTTAAAGAAATGTTAAAGACTTATTTTGCAGTCTGTCATCAAAGGTAAACTTGCTTGGACAACCATTTTGACAGTTATTTTGAATATCATTGCTAACCAGAATCATAAGATGATACAATCTTATGATTAGAGAATACAATTGTTTTCATTCTCCCTTTTAGCAGTGAAGGATTCCACCAAGATAAATGTCAGAGGTTTAAACTGGACAAACCCCCTTCATATGCAGAGTAATTGTGTTTTAATCATGTGCACCTAATGTGATATGCCTGTATGCAAATTAAGCAATTTTGAGTGGACATAAATTTGGAAATGTCCAGATTTATGCCCCACCAGAAATGTTCCTTTTTCATTTCATAATACTGAACATTTAATATGTTCTTCTTTTTTTATTTATAATACCTTAACTTCTCTATGTTCAAAATAACTTTCATATATTCATATGCTAAAGTAGGTTAGAATGACACAAGCTGTTCTTGATATATTTATTCACATCATTATACATGATGTGTAGTGGTTTGAAGACCAAGACATTTCTAAGCTAAATAAAACAAAATAGCAACAACTAAATAAATGTTCTCCTATGCTCATTTCACAGCTCATTTTCAAGGAACCACACACTTTTCAGACCACTTAACTAGATTTTGCTTTCCTCTGTTAAGCAATGGCTTCTCTTTAACAGTTCTGAGAACTCTTAACAAAAGAGCTCATAAATGAGCCTAAGAGTGTCAATTTAACAGTGATGCACATGCAAGAATGTGCAAGATAATAAAAATGGTTTTAATACAACACTGAACTCACTAAGTAGCATTAGGAATATGGGGGGAGGGAAGACCAAGGAAGACAGACAGAAAGCAAGCTGCCTCAGTGAGAATTTTAAAATGTGATTTGCCGAGCACTGTGAAGGAAGATTAGGGAGACTGGACGGCTTTACAACACAGACACCCCAGCTTTCTAATCCTGAAATACATTAACAGCAATAATTATACAGCTACAACCGATTAGTGTTGCAGAAAAATGACTGAGTGACATGAATAGGAAGGGGGTGGGGAGCACATAGGAAAAAATACATGGAAAAGAAATACAAAGAAAGACAGTAAAGACAGATGTGATGAAGCAATTGAGAAAAACTAAATTCTCAGGGAGTCCAACAAGAGAGGGAGGAGAAAGAAGTGTAGAAGTCGATAGTCAAAAGGTTGTGAAACAAGAGGCAGAGAAAAACTTCATGCCAAAAAATGTGAATATTTATCTTAAAATTTATCAAAATTATGAGGAAGAAAAGCATAATAATGTTAGGACTTGCAGGAAGAGGATTAATTCAGAGACATACGATGGAAGAAGGTAAGATGGAGGAAGGAACAAAGAACAGCAAGCTCAAATTTACTCATGGCACAAATCCAGGCCAAATAATTTCTTTGACACACATGGAAAACCATGTGTTTAAAGATTTGATTAATGGAACAGAGGGGTACAAAAAACACATGCAGCTTTCACCTTGTCTCTCAGTGAACATTAACATCTAAAATGTGCTTAATTAAGTCAAATCCGACAAAGTCCAGCACAACACAGTGTGTGCTCGTTTGTTTTTCAGTTTCATTTAAACTAATTTAGAGATAACAAAACAGTGTCCTCTGTGTTTCATTCGAAATGTACAAAGTTAACAGATAAATTTGTAACTAATCTGCTGCACACTGCAGGTTTTAGTAGGAAGAACTTTTTAAATCTTCATTATGAAACATTAGTAGGTTGCTTCACTTACAGTGGACTTCCAGTATTCAAAGTATTCCTGTAAATACTTGAAAGCTATCAACCAATAACAGGCACAAATGAATGAAAAGAAAATTTTAACTTAATCATTACTAAATATAAATTATAACCTCATGAGGAAAATATAAAGATTTTCTTAAAAGCAACATTTAGATATCAAATGTAGGACTTTTTACTACCAAAATATTGTTCACACCAGTATATACACCAGCTAGTGACGCAATCAAGGACTCAGACCTCAACTTTCAGAGCCACATAAGTACAGTTACAAAGCCAGCCTTCTATCACCTGAAGAACATTTTTTAAGCTGAAATAACTAATGTCCCAGCAAAGTCTAGAGAAACTCATCCATGTGTTCGTCTTTAGTTGCACTGACCACTTCAGCAATGTTTTTGCAGATCTGCTAAAAATCAGTAGTTGCAGCTGATCCAAAACCCTGTTCACTAAAACTAGGAAGATAGAGTGCCTCATCAGAATTTTAAAGACCTTACACTGGTTCTCTGCAACTCTGAGAATAGATTTTAAAATACTGTTAGTTTATAAGTTACTTAATGGGTTAGTACCACAATATATTAAAGCCTGCTGTTATTGTGTTCATCTTTCAAACCACTCTGTTCATCTGGTTTTAGTCTACTCTGCATCCCCAGAACCAGAACCGAACATGGAGAAGCAACATCAGCTTCTATGCACCACAAATCTGGAATGAACTTCTGGAAAACTGCAAAACAGCCAAAATACTTGAGTTCTTTTAAGTCAAGGCTAAAAACCCATCTGTTCAAAGTTGCCTCTACTTAGTAACTGGAACATTGATCAACATATTTGAAATCTATTTGCTTGATTATTCTGATTTTGAAAACACTGTTTTGGTAAAATGTGCTATACAAATAAACTTAACCAGACTACTAATTATATGGTGCACAAGTATAACCAAGTACACCACATTTTCATTATCTTACTGAATGCTAGCGCACCCTCGCAAAGTTTGAAGGGCACACACAATGTACACTACAAAAAAGCTTTAGTCACAGGATGCCCGGACAGGTTCAGTGTCCATTAATCAATATTGACTAATCGTTAACACTTTGTGAGCTTACAGAAATCAAATATGAGCTGTACAAATCTTCTTCCATTTGTTATCAGTTTGCAAAACCAGTTGGTTTACAGAATAAAAAATAAAAAAAATTAAAAAAGCCTTCCTAGTTTTATATGGAACTGAGCCATTTCTTTAAAGGGGAAGTGCACAAAGAGGAAGCACAGTTTACCTGAAGGGGAAACAAAGCTTTTAGCTGTGTGTGTGCACAGCACTGTGGAAGGTGGAGAAGAGATGTACTGGTGTGAAAGATAAGAATGATAAATGAGAGCTGTGTGGGCTGAGAGGGTGGTATATGGATAGCAGATTAAAAGGCAAAAAAGGTGCAGAGAGCACAAAAAAAGAGGAAAATGAGGGCATCTCTCCAGCCAAAGTTTCCCACATACACACATTGCTTCGACACATCTCTCCTTCAATCAAAACTGAGCCTATCTATCCATAAGGCTGCTGTGCTTTTTGAATAATGGACCCAATATGAAGCAAGTCACTGAGATGATTTGGTTGTCTGATGGAGGTCATGAGGTTCCTGCCCTGAGAGCAGTGCAGGGAATCAACAGCAGTCATAAAGGAATCACAAGACGGAGTCATTTGCATTTTACACTCACAACTAAATTGGAAATGACTCGTGTCTGCTCCTGTCTGGGCCATCCCGATTCATATCAGATACGCTTTTAATTTTTTATACAGCAGTTATGGAGAACCAGACCTCCGTGGCTTTGTCTAATTTCCCAAGACTTAGGGCGCTGAAAATCCTATGGTTCTTTAATGATATGAAAATGAAAGAGCTTTTGGATGATTTTCTTATGTCTTTAGGGACGTCAAATGTTATGAAGCTATGAAAGTTTTTCATAAAAACGAATCTTAGCTCTCTTCTGTCATTCTTCATGAAAATCTTTGCATATTATTAAAAATAATAAATAACGAATAATCTGTCTAGTTGATGGCTGAAAAGTCTGACCGTGAGAAAGAAACAGCAAAAAAATTTTACGGTTTTGTTCATTTTCACAAACACACTGATCCAGCCGGCAAAGTTGCTAACACAGCTGCCTTTTAAACACCAAAGATGCATACCAACAATTTGAAAACATATCGTTTTAAAACTCATAAACTCTTCCGTCTTCTTGACCCTACAACTAAAATATAATAAGTTGAGTTTTCTCTAATTCTATTGAATAGAGTACTGCAAGGTTTCCAACTCTTTACCTACAGCTACACACTGACAGTCAGCTGGGATTTAATTAAAAAAAACTGCATTGTCAATATTTTCTTCTCCCTTCTCTCTTTTTTAACTAGACTTTATATTTTGTGAGCTTCAGCAACCTGCACATAGTAATCTGTGTCAAGTGTGAATCACTGTGCGATTTTTTTTATCAGGCTGATAACTAACTGAACAACTATCATACAAAACAATCAGTGCTTGTTTAGAATGTGAGTGAAAACTTTTTTCATTAATTTTTTTTTCATTAAAAATAATTGCACCACCTTCCACCTACAAATTTTCAAGATACAAACAAAATAAAATGTGCATTCAGAAGTAAATAGTAAAAGAACTATTAATTACCTGCTCCAGTAGTTTTCTGTACCTCTGGGTGGCTTGCTGGATAAGATCCCTAACAGTCCATCCATCCTTGCAGGGCACAACAACACCTGTCTGTCCAAAAGTTACTGTCACCTTCATAATGAAACACTCAGCTTTATCCGAGATAGTGTAACAGACGAAAAGGAGGTAAGATCCCAATAGCAAAGTGCACCACAGACAGGTTTAGGGTTGTGATTAGGCACAGAAAAACTAAAAAACAGTTGGCAGAAAAACAGGAGTGGCACTGGGCTGCTTTTGTGTAGCTGCCCAGATAAATCCACAGTACTCAGAGCAACTTCTTGAAAATGTTTCCAAAGTGAAATGTCATTGTCAGCACATTACTGCAGAGTTTTAATCACCATGCAGTGGTCATCTCGGTGGACACCTCATATCTCAAGTTTTGCAGATGCTGCTGCTCAGTTAGGTCAGAGCATAAACTAAGTTTAATGAAACATAAAAGTGCTGTGATCCTTTCATGATCGGAGCTCATAAACAAGAGGTGTGTCGTGTTATTATTCCTCTCGGCAACTTCATCAGGTTCTGATAAAAAAATAAGCTAGCTGATTAGCCTGATACTAAACCCTGGCCCCGGCTATCATAGCAAACGGACGATGAAAGCTTTCACATTTAGACTATGTTTTAAACTGATGCGTCTTTTTCTACAACAACTGAGCTTACTCCGAATCGATTTGGTGAATAAAAAAAGTTTCGCATCGCGCTTAGCAAGCAGCCCCTGTGCTAGCTAACGTTAGCCACCTTAACTGAACTTTGGAGGAGGGAGGGATGCAGTCGCTCGTGCATCATTCCAGAAGTTTTCCTCTCGTTTCGACTCAGCCGTTTGCATCTACTTGATCGTCAACAGACACGACAAGGAAGCGCGGAAGTTATTAACCCGTCCAAGTCCTTAACCCGTCCAGTGGCAGGCTGCGAGTGAGCTGAACCAGCGAAGGAAGAGAACTTTACTGAGTTGGAAAAGTTTTTGGGATTCCTCCACAGCCCCGTCCGTTCCTGACCAGTTACTCCGCCGCCTGTTGCTGTCACTTTCTTAAAGGGATAGCGCCCCAATAATAAAGCACACAAAGCAGCGAAACATCAAAGAACCCAATATGTTTTAGTAACTTACTTATGTTACAAAAACTGTTTAGCATGATGTAATAACCCCTTCTACTGCTGTTCTTAGTACAGCATGTATGCAGCTTTGAAGAAAGTACAGTTTGAAGTATAAAAAATGAACTATGTCAAAATGCCTTTATTTACAGACTATTCCAGTTTCAAAATAAAAAAAACTACTTATAAAAACAGACTTTATGCACTGTAGCACTTATTTGTTTAGATGATGTCCTTTGTGTTCCTTTTATACATTAAAATGCAGATTTATTGTTCAACACAATTGAGATGCTGTTTTTTTTTTTTTTTTTTTTTTTAGTAATTCACTGAGAATCTAGATTACAACAAGTCTTCATACTAATTGAACTTTCCCACACTTTATCGTGTTACAGCAGCAAATTTTAATGTAGTTTTGGGGTTACTGAGATGGGCTATCAACAATCTCAGTAAATTTCCATCAAACTTTTAGATAGGGAGTACATGATCATGCTCTCACTAATATGCAGTCAAATTCCTTAGCACTTTTACTGGTTACACTGAATCTATAACATATCTTGATTTGTTTTGTGGGGGGTTACCTTTATTTATACAGGTTGCTTCATTGAGATCCAAAATCTTATTTACAAGAGAGATTAGTTTTATTCAGTAAGATCTTTTTTCCCCTCACAAATTACAGGCTGTGGCAAAGTCCAAAAACCCTATATTTAATCATTTGAATCTTTTGTTTAATCAGTGCATTACATGTGTTGATATTGCAAAAATTATAAATTGACAATATGCCTTGACCCTCTGCTTCAGCTTCAAACTTGAGGCAAGTAATATGAATATTTTTGTTTTAAATTCCACACAATTTTTTAAATATTTCTCATCTAAATTTGATTACTGCATTCTACGGCCCATATTTTTTCCTCTAAAAAATGTACATATTAGGCTAAATCAGTATTTTCAGATTTATTCAATAATCTATTACAATAATGTAAACTACAACACTTCTATCTAACAAGTGTTGAAAAGTTAACCAGACATTCCAGACTCTGGCACCGTTTCAAATGCTGAAGCTGTATTTACAAAACATCCTGGCTTTTCACTCTTTGGTTCATCTTCAAAGGAGGGAATCCCTCCCTGAGAGGAGGAGTTCGACTTTGTAATTAGCAGCTGAACTGCCTGCATGTGCGGATCTGCTTATTCATTTGAGCTAGGTTTAGTTTCTGGGTCATTGAATTGCATTGCTACTAATGAACCCCAGGGGAGATGGAGCATTGTGCATGCAAGACTTTTTTTTTTTTTTGCTGTCTTTTTATCTTCTGTGATAAAGTTTTAAAGTTAGAAATATGCATGAATAGCTAATGATTTCTAATTAACTCAGAAGTTGGGGAGGAACATTAGCTTTTTATCAATACATAGCGTAGGATGTGTTTACAATATTTGTCTGTGGGAATAATTTATTTAGATCGCTTATCATTATATTACGAATGCAACTGCTGAAACACTGAGCGAACGACATATGAACTGCCAAAAATAATTTTATTATGCAATTCTGAAGGAAAACGTAGGAAACACCAATCATGGCCATAAAAATCATAAATTTGGGGCTTTAAAATAATTGATTAAACCATTCTTTTTTGGTCATACAGATAGCTCCAGTGTATTAAAATCAGGTGCTCCAAGTAAAATTTACTATAGATTCTTCTTCCGATCTCAGTGGAAATTATTTATGTAGGCTTAAACAGACACTTCCAGGCCCATAATATTTGATTAAATGTCTCCTGGCAAGTTTATTTGAATAGCACCATCCATGCAAAAATCTATTCAAAGTGCTTTATGGGAATTCAAAAGACAGTGAAACAAACCCTAAGTATAATGCTGCCTCTTTGAATGTCTCGTTTTTATTTTTCAAGAATTTTGTTTTCAAAACAGACTGATGCAGATATAATGCAGACTGGGACCTCCAGCAGGACAAAAACATGCTAGAACCAACACAGAAACTCATCAGCTGAGTTTCTATGCTGGTTAATCATTCAGAAGTTTGGGTTTTGTTGATGAAATTTCCATACAAATAAACTTTATTTAATTTAACTTCTTAAGTGATACTTATGCAATTTATGCAAGATAATTTTATTTATTAGTAACAGGGCTATTCAAAGTATTTTAGATGATTACAATACAAAACCATTACATTGCTGTGGTAAAGGAAAGTGATGACAGGTTAAAAAACAGAAAACAATTTATGTTACAGTCATTATTAATAAAAGACAGCCCTAAACAAATGTTATTTCATGAAATCTTAAAGCCCAAAAAACAAATGATAAAAAAACTTAGTTTATATGTATAATTTTATTATTCTCAAATGTAATTATTTCAGAGCACTTCCAACTAGAGCAGGAAACGCTGTCAGAAAGCATGATGTCAAAGATCAACTTCATTACAGATATTTAGTTTAATATTTTTGGGGAGCATGTCTATATTTTCTTATTAAATACAATAGAAAACATTCACAATGAATTCAATATTATAGTTTTTAAAAATATGTGTGAACTTGTACTGTCAATCCACCATCATTTCAGTGCTTGGGCCAAAGAAGAGAAGCCTCCACAGATAAAATGTTGAAACAGAACAGGTAATGCATTCACATGCAACAAATAAAGATAAACATCACCAGCAAAGGAATAAACAATCAAAATAAATAATACACATTCAAAATAGAAAATAAAAAATATTTTTTTATTCAAAGGAAAATAAAGCAATTAGGGTGATGAACAGTAGAAATCATAGTAAAATTTTTAAATAGATAATATGTCTAACATCAACCACAGTGCTATTGATCAGAGCAAAGAGAAGAGAAGCGGAGGGATCCTTAACTACTAAAAAATTTACTCCAAATCTAAGGATTATTATTTTGCTTTTCTTTTTAATTGGCACAGTTGTATTCAAACCCTGCCCATTTGATCCATCTGGCCGTTGGTTCCCTCTCTTTCCCCCATATGGTAAAACCCTAACCTCAGCAGTGTTCTGTGTCATGCGTCCTACATTATGAGCAGTTAGGACACCACTGTGAACATGCTAGAAATTGAACGCTCCCCTGCTGTTAGGACAGGTGCATTCACTCTCTGGCTAAGAAATCATTATGTTAGTACAAGATGGACGGGGGGCAGAGAGCATTGGGGGAAAATAGTACTGTATACATCAATGTTATTCTGAATTTAAATATTCCTAATGGGGCCCAGGATGTAAATTTTATGCCAGATGTTGGCAACAATCTAGTAAATCCAACATACAAATAAATTAGGATTGTGATTTTAATGTGTTCATTTTGATTAAAAAATTAATTACATGTACCTGTGTTGACTCTTAGCGGGTGACTCTTTCCATTTTGTACCCTGCATCTTTGCTACAAGAGGCTGCAGCCTCCAGCAATAACTAAAGGGAGAAAATTAGTAAATAATAAATAGCTTTGGCTTGCTTTTAGTCAAACAGAGTAATATTTTGTAAATAGTTTTCTAGGGAGATTGTATCCTATAGATAAGCCTTTAACAACATTTTAGCTGTTGAACCTTTATGAAAAAAACAAAATTATTTGAGATTTTGTGTGATAGACTGACACAAAATAGTATATACTGTAATTGTAAAAAAGAAAATTACTTTTTATTGTCTCTCATTTACTCTGACACCCCTAATTAAAATATACATAGTAGACAAGTAGACTAGTCAATCACATAAAGTCTTAGTAGGTTACAATTTTTGTGACATGACAAAATGTGAAAGGGTTAATGGTAGATGAATATTTACCATATAAATATAAGGTATATAGATTTGGTCATCTATATCTCTGTCTATATAGATGGCCAAAATAGATCATATAATTCAGGGGTCATATATAACACAAAATGAAAGAATATCAGTAAAGATTTTAGAAAATGTATAAATTATTTGATCTGTCCTAAAGTACTGAAACCAGTTTCACTGAACAGGTGATGAATAGGGAAAGTACCAGAATACTACACTAAAACTAATTTCATTGAGAGGGCAGGAGCAGCGATTTGATAAATCCACATATAAAGGTGTAATTCAGAAATCTAATCAACATTAGTCAAAGTCAAGAATTTGCGTTAGCACACAGAGCCTGAACAGTCCAGCGGCTTCAGGATTTGTAGCATGTCAGAGCTTTAAATCTGATGTTTGTTGTGACATTACCTTGCTCGCCCAGCAGTAGCAATGAATTGTAATGACTGTAATGACTCCTTTTTAGTAGATGAAAGGAGGCAGGATGGTCAACCACAGCAAAGCAAGAAGGTTCAGGTTTTTAAAGGGTGATTGCTCTCTAGTTAGAACATTTCCAGCTGGAAACTTTGAGTTTTTGCAACAGAAGGGGGAGACAAATCAGCCACACCATAGGAATTTTTAATCTAAAATTTAAATTGACAAATGCCAACCTAAGAGAGGGGTTTTAGAGTTTCTTAAATTAAGTTGGAAGAGGTTTTAATTGATTCTCTTTCATTTTTTTGTGTATTCTTAGGTATGTAAATGTTTCTTTAGAAACTGTAGGTATGACAAGACCAGTTTGATTTGCAGAGTTTCTTTTTTGTCCAAAATTGATCACTTTAAAGTACTCATGGGTGACAATTGTTTTCACTTTGAGTAAAACATTCTGAAAACTACTTTTCTGTGAAAGTTTTACTTTTATGCCTGATCAACCAAAAACTAAACATAAATAATGAAAAAGAAAAAAAGATGCTTATCAAAAGAAGAATACAATAGCAAAATAGCAAATATTAGGTAAAAACATACCTTATTTATTTATTGTGTGTGTACCTGGTCTCACTTCCAGTGCCTTGGTGCCAAATTTATACTAGTCTTCATTTTTTGTGGGTCCTGAATGACCCAGATTTTGGATGACTCTTCCTCAGAGAATAAATGGTGATTT